TGGGGCAATCGACCGGCCCGTTGCATCAGCGTCCCCGAGTCCATCCACTTCCACATCCTCCCCAGGGCATGTGCTCTGGGGGGACTCATCATCCTCCTTCTGCTTCTCACTGTGCCCTTCCCATTCCCCATCCTGAATACCCTCATCTCCCTCCCCACCGCTCGATGTTGGGCGCGCGCGCGCGCACGCGCCACCGTTAGACGCAAAGGGCACGGGGCTGGGCCTTGCAGACGGGGCACGTGGAGTTGCCAGTGCTCGGCAGGAGGCCGCCGTGCACGGCGGATCGCCTTCCGCCGGATCTGGGGAGGGAGGAGGGAGGACAGGGACTCGAAGCAAACGAGACGTGAGTCGAGCGAGCATCGGACGAGACAGCGCTCCCTCTCTGACGCTGTCTTCCAGGAGGGCAAGCCAGGGCGCATGGGCGAGCGCCCGGTTTGCACCGATAAGCGCCTGGTTTGCCCGGTTTGCGCGAGCAAAAAACTGCATAAACATAAACTTCTGGCGCTCCGCGCGGATGCGGGAAGAGGAAGGAGAAGAGGGGCTGGGTGGGGGAAAGGCAGAGAAAGAGTAGAAGCACAGCGTGGAGCAGTAGGGAAGAGGAGGTGCAGGGAGGAATATGGACAGAGAGGGAGGAGAAAAGCCAGAGGGGGGATGAGGACGGATGGAGAGGGAAGAAGAGGAGGTCGAGCGTGCTCAAAAGGGTTCATTGACGAATCAAGCGCCTACCGCCGCGCCCATATGGATGCGTGGGCATCATCATCATGATCATGAGCATAATCATCATCATCGTCATCATCATCATCATCATCATCATCATCATCAGCATCATCATCATCGTCGTCATCATCAGCATAATCATCAGCATACGTATCATCATAATCATCATCATCAGCAGCATCCGCATCCTAATCGCCATCGTCACCATCGTCATCAGCACCATCACCACCGCCATCATCAGTATCATCATTAGCATCAGTATCATCGGCAACAGCATCATCGTCATCATCAGCATCACCATCATCGTCATCATCATCAAGATCAACAGCATCCTTATCATCATCATCCTCGCCATCAACATCATAATCATAATCCTCCTCATCATCCTCATCATCATCATCATCATCATCATCATCATCGTCATCATCATCAGCATCAGCATCAGCATCATCCTCATCATCATCATCATCATCATCATCAGCATCATCATCATCATCATCATCATCATCATCATCATCATCATCATCATCTGCAGCAGCAGCATCATCATCACAACCACCACCATCATCATCCAGATCGCCCGCGGGAGCTGGAACGTCAAGCCCGACGTGGACTTACAACAACCAGGACTGCATGAACTGCTGACTACAGCGCCTGCATGGAGTACCTCGGCCACTACATGGAATCCCACTGGCGACTGGCAATCACCGAACGCGAGCTCCGCCGCGGCATGCCCGACCGACGCCCATATCCACGACAGGACCCAGAGAGCGGTCCGAGGCGCAGCCGTGCGCCGAGACCATCATGCCAGACCCATTGCCCACGCCAACAACGACGGCGACACCAACGTCGACGCTTCTGGCTCCGGCGGCACCAACGCCGAGGCGAACTGGGCTGGCGGGCCCAAGGGCGCCGCCCGTGCCGCCGCGAGCACCCCCACGGAGACAGTGCCGGCGAAAGCTCCGAAAGGGAGCAGCGGCTGCGACCGCCGTGAGTACGCCTGCGGGGCCAGCACTGGCGCGAGCTCCGAGGGGAGCAGCGGCTGTTGCCGCCGTGAGCACGCCTGCGGGGTCCGTACCAGCGAGAACCTATGGGAACCGCCGCCCACGCGTTCCTGCTCAGCGGACCCCCTGAAGCGCGAGCCCGATGCCGCGCAGGGGGAGGCACACGAGAATGGCGAGGGCTGGGGCGAATCGCATTCCCCAGTGCGTGGAAGCGGGTGCTGCCTCGACGCCCGTGAACCCTGGAAGTCGAGGAGCACCATGGCGCCTCCGCATTTCCCACCGTGGACCTGCTGCTGAGATGGCTGAAAAGGAGCCAGCGGCTCTCCTCGCCATCAGGGGGCAGCACCCACAGGGGCCACAGCACAGCGGCGAGGAAGGAAAGGCAGGACCCTGATTCTCGCCCTGGCGTATCCACATGCCCAGATGGGGCCAGCCTGAGGGGCAACGGGGGAAATGACAGAGGGCTGGAGACCGCTCCAGCGTGGGCGAGTGCTGGCCGAACACCTTCCTAAGCTGTCCGGCCATCTCGTCCGGCCATCTCGCCTGATGGCGGGCTGATAACCTGTGGGCATACGGAAGCAGATCCAGACAGCAAAGACTTCCCTACGGATGATAAAGAGCGGTGATGGTGAGGACGACCGGCACTCCTTCGTGAATCTGGCGAGCATCGCATCTGCAAAAATGGTCGGGAATGCAAGCGGCAGCAACTGGATGCGAGGATGAAAAAGCTCGGTGATCTAGCGCGCCTCGGTGCGTTCAGCCACTGGTGCAGGCAGCCCCAGCAGAAAAGATGCCTGGCCGGGTACATGCTTGAACTCCCTCCGACGACAACTACACCTGGACACACTCGTGCATAGAAAAACACATGCACAAACAAGATGGCGGCAAACAGGAGAAGCTGAGGGGCAAGACGGCCGCGACTGCACCTGAGAAAATGGCAGGAGACAGACTCGTGGGGCAGCAGGGGTGAGGGATGAGGAACGACCAGAAAAGAGGGACGAAGAGATGGGAGCAAGGACGGAGGACAGGACATGGAAGAAAGACAATGCATAATGAACTTGCTGTAAAGGACTGAACGGGGGGGCGGAGGTGGGAGGCGCAGAGGAATATGATGGAGGATGAAGAGGGCATTCCGCCTCTGGGATATCACTCATATGCCCGCCTCCGACCGAATCACGCGCGGAACAAGGGATGCCGGGGGGGGTCCGCTACGGCGAGAAGGACAAACTCGCGTGCCGCTCGACAAGACGAGCGCAGCGATGACGCGGGCCGTGACGTGGCGAGCAGCGCCGCGTAGCGGAACTCTATCGAAGAGGCAACTTCAGAAGCGGCGGCTCGACGGTGCGACGCTGTTTTGCCATCCATGAACCATGGTGACAATCAAACTCACCGACATCCCTTTAGCTGACGGCTGGGATTGTCCGGGGGCAGTACAATGGGGAGAAAGGCACGGGCGGGGATGGAGAGACCGATACAAGCCTCACCAGTTCGGACAGAGGGTCTGTCCAGACCCGCGGCGCGCACACGCCCGCCCGACCTACCTAGAAAGGCAGGAGGTGCCGCAAGTGAGAAGCAGGGGCGGGGGGGGGAGGGGCCGTCCCCGCGAGGACCACGACTGGGAAGGAAAAGAGGAAAGTGGTGATAACAGCGAGACTTGACCCTCTTGAGTACCCGTGAGCAGAGAAGCGCGGGTTTTACATGCGCTCTGGCATGCGTCAACCAGCCCCCGCGACAGAGCAGGCGCCACCTTGGCGCATCCCCCTCGGCCGCCCAGCGTTAGGGCGACGCAAAGGCTGCCAGCAGCTCGCGCAGGGCAACTAGGACATGGATGGGTCAGCACTGGCGTGCGATCGGCGAGCATCCAGGCACGCCTGGTGGCTCGCCCGGGGAGAGGCCCCGAGATGAGCAGGCGCTCGGGCCTGACAAGGGACGATCCAGGCGGTCTGTGCTCTTGGGAGATGTCAAGCTGGGGCCCCGACTGCTCCTGGGTGCTACGCAGCTTATGACCAAACCTAGTCATACATCGATGCGTCGTCGCGATGGCGATAGTGCGAGCATTCCCGCGGACGGGGTCGGCACATAGAACGGCGGCCGCGAGGCGCTGGATGGCGCGCCCCCGCGCGGTGGCCTGCACAGAAGCGAATCGGAAGTTCACCCTGGTAGGTGATGCTGGGGCCGTGAGGCAGTGGTGCCCTCACTCTGGTCCCATCGCCGACAATTGGGTTGGCTGTGCTGGCCGCGCCGACCGCGCCTGGTGGCGGGTGGCTGGGCTGCCTTGGCGCGAGCCGAACACGTTCCTTGGCTGCCTCATCCCCGCCCTGTGGCTGGCGGCCGGGCAGGCTGCCTCGGCGCTAGCCTCGCTCGGTCGGCCTGGCGGAGCGCGTTGCGTTGAGGGCCCGGGCCCTCCCTCCCGGGGGCCCAAAGCCGCAACTCGCCACCGACCCCGCGCAGGTCCTCGCGCTGATCGTCGGCGCCTGGGGCGGGGGCCAGGCGGTCGCCCGCCCCAGGAGGCGCAGGCGCAACGCGACTTCTAGGTGGCGGTGTGGGCCCAAGGAGAGCGGCGTGGGATAAGCCACGTTCTGCCGGGTCGAACCACCGCGCAGCCTGGGGCGCAATCGGCCTGACGCTCGGGGCGGGTTCCCGGCGCCTCCCCGCGCCCAGGGGAACCCTGCGCCGCCGCGCCGCGCTCGCCGCGGTGGCGCGCAACGTGCCGTCTGGGCGGCGCTGGAAGTCGCGCCGCACGCAGCGCTGCTCGCCACTGTCGCGGGTGCGAGGCTGCTGGCGTCCACGGACGCAAGCCCTGGCGGGCCGGGCCATGGGCCCCGACGCACCGCTCGTCGCACTCGCAATAGTAGCGAAGACGTTGGCGCCAGCTCCCGCCGCGCCGCATGACGCCGAGGCGCCCCGCCCCGCGGCGCTGCTCACCGTCGAGACGCCGGTGGCCGACGCGCTGCTGATTGACGCAATGGCCGACGTCGCGCCACTCGACTTCGTCGAGTTGCTGAGCGTCAGGTCACTGATCGTAGACGCGCTGCTAAAGAACGCGACGTTCGATGCACAGCTGATCTCACTCGCGGGCGCAAGGCGGTTGGGACTGGGTCCCGCGGCATGGCCCTCCATCGCATGTCCCAGGCGCGCAGCGCGGAGGAGCGACGCGCGCTGCCCTGCTCTTCGCACTCGCCGAAGCGGGAGTGGCGTCGGCCCCATGCTTCGCAACTGGTGGCCGCAGTGCTCGCTGCGCTGCTCGCCCCCCCCCCCCCCCCCCCCGCTGGATCGCAGCGCAATGTTCAGCGCCACGGCGCTCAGCTCCGTCGCGCTGCGCGGCGTCGAGGCGCCGGCCACCGGCGCGACGCTGCAAGCCGCCGCGTTCGAAGCAGCGCTCGTCTCGCTCGTTGGTGCGAGGCTGCCGATGCATCGCCCCGCGTTGCGCGCCTCGCGATATTGCTCGCCGCCATCGCGCTGCCCTACGACCCGGAGCTGGCCCCAGACGTTCTGCCCCAGGGCATGGCGCTCGTTTCGCCCCTCTTCCCACTCGCAGCCGCGGGGGCGCCGTCGCTGGGCACAGTCGAAGTGCTCGACGACATGGCGCTCAGCACCGTCGCGCGGCACGGCGCCCGGGCGGTTCTGGACGCATTGCTCGAAGTGGGGGCGCACGTTGCAATGATCGCCTTGCTCGCAAATGCGAGGCTGCCGATGCTGGGCCCCGTCTTTGCTCGCAACGTCACGATGACAAGTCTCGCCGCGCTGCTCCGCGTCGAGGCGCTGGCCCCTGGCGCGCCGCCGGCAGACGCGGCGGCCGCTGCGCTGGTCGCCCCCTTGTAGACGCGAAGCTTCTGGCGCAGTATCCAGTGGCGCCGCGCAGCGTCGCGCTGCTCAGCTCCGTCGCGTTTCCCGGCGTCGAGGCGGGCGCGGCATTCCGCGCGCTGCTCGCCCCGATCGGAGTGAGGCTTCTGTCTGTGGATCCCGCGGCGCTGCGCGTCGCGGTGGTTCCCGGTTCCGCAGTGCTGCGCTGCGCCCCACTGCTGGTCGCGCAGGCGCCACCGGTGGGCGCGCGGCTCGTAGCGCTGCTCGTCGCAATCGTGCATGCGACGCTGCTGGTGCCCGCGAGCGCGAGCCCTGGCGGGCTGGCCGTGGGCCTCGCTGCGCTGCTCGTCGCACTCATGAAATCGAAAGCGTCGGCGTCGGCCCCCGCGGCGCCGCTCGGCGCCGTGGCGCGCCGCCCTCTCGCGCCGCTTAGCGGCGAGGCGCCCGTGACACGCGCGCAGTTGGAAGGCGCGGTGGCGTCTGGCCCCGCCGCGCCGCCCGACTTCGCGGCACTCTCCGTCGCATTGCTCAGAGTCGCGGCGCTGGTCGCAGACGGGCGGCTGAAGGACGCAACGGCCGACGCGCCGATCGCGCCAGTCCGAGACGTGAGGCCGTTGAAGCTGCATCCCGTCGCGCTCGACGTCGCAGTGCTCGACTGCGTCGTGCTACGCCTTGTCAGGAAGATCCCCGGCGCGGCGCTCCAAGCCGCGATGCTCGTTGCTCTGCTCGATCGTCTCACTCGTGGACGCGAAGCTACACGCGCTGGGTCTCGCCTCGATGCGCAACGCTGCGAAACCCGATGCCGTCGCGCTGCTAAGTCGAAGCGGCGGTCAGCGACTTGCTGCTCGAAGTCGCGGCGCTCGTCGCCCTGCTTGTCTCCCCCGCCAGCGCGAGGCTGTCGGCGCTAGATCCCGTCGCGCAGTCCAACGCCGCTGCGCTGAACTCAGTCGCGTTCCCTGGCGCCGAGGTTCGGGTCGCAGCGGTGCCGCCAGAGGACGCATTGCTAGCTGGCCCGTTCGTTTCACTCGTGGGCGTGAGCCTACTGGGGCTGAAGTTCGTCGCGCTGCTCGACGTAGCAGTGCTCGCTTGCGTCGCGCTGCACGGTGTCTGAATGGTCGCAGATATGCCGCTGTGGTACGTGGTCCTCATGGCACTACCCGTCTTACGGTTGGAAGCGCGGCCGTCGGTACTGGATCTCGCTTTGGCGCGCAACGTCGTGCTGGCTCACCCCATCGCTCTGCACAGCGCCGAGCTGATGGCCCCTGACATGTTTCCGAAGACGTTGTGCTCGTCGCACTGCCCGTGCCATTCGTAAACGTGAGGCCATTGATAATCATGTCCGTCGTGCTGGCCGGTGTCACATAGCTGGTACTGCACGTGCTGCACACCGACTTGGTGCCCGTTGCACTGCTCGCCACAATCGCGGGCGCCAGCCCTGGCGGGAAGCCGCGACCGCGAGGGCAGGGGGGGCCAGGCGTGTCTTCGCCTGAATCAGGTTGTTGAACTGGTGCGCTGGAGTGGTGCTCTGAGTAGCTTGGTCTAGTAGTTTAGTGGAACGTACAAGCCGAGGCAAGCTAAGACCGTCAATCGCCCCACGACGCTCAAACAACAAAACTGCGTTGCACAACGCACCCAATGTCATAAGCAATCCTGGCACCCCTGTCGCAGTTGCGCGAAGAGTACGAATTGGCACCAAGGGTGCAATAGACCCCGCCCGCACGAGCATGTCCCTCGGTCAGAACTCGTGGGGGGTCGTGTCGATGATTTCGCGCGGGGACATGTTAGCGCCACTCCTCAGGACGCGGGGGAGAAGCAACGTCATGGGTCCAGTGCTCTTGTCCGCGAGCGGTGGCACGCTGTTCACGAGTATGAGGGCGAGGGCGGGGGCAAGGAGGATGAGGGGTGAGCGCCGGCAAGAGCCCGAGGGGAGCTTGCCCCGATTTGATCCCGAGGGAATCGGCAGCATTGCCATTGGTCATCAAAACCACTCAGCACTGGTTTTGATCCCCCGTGCGAACAATGATGGTGCCGTGCTGGCCGTCAATCGGGTTCTCAACCTGGCTGGCGACCGATACTTCGGTGCCCTCCTGAACGGGCGGAGGCCCAGGTGGTGGGACGAGGCCTGCGGTATCGGGCAACGCTTCGGCCCTGGTGGGCCGTGCGTTTGCTCTGGTGGACCCAGTCTCAATCCCGAAACCGGGCAACCGGTCCCTCATGCTGCGTGGCATTCTGCACGGCAGGCCCACCTCGACAAAGAGATCCCTCACGTCGTCCGACTTGTCCGCTCGCGTGGCTGCAGCCGTGGGAGGTGGTGATGCGGAAAGTGGTGCTGTCAGTGGCGTTGGCCGTGCCGCGGGTGTCACTGAAGCCTCGCCTGGATTCGCCCTGGGTTCCACCCTGGCGGGTGTACCCGTGGGGTTTGGCGGTGGTTGCAACGGATGAATCCATGGTCACCTGGTGGCGCTCACCCTTTCCGAAGCAACCGCTGGGAAGACGACGACAGGGTCCCGCGGATCCCCGGGCAGTACTTCGGCCGTGGTGGAGTTTTAGTGGATGCTTAAAGTGTGTAAGATCCCGTGGACAACCCTGCGAAGTGGAAGCGCGATCGTTACGCCCCAATTTTGAACAGGGATCGACCGTCCTGGCAATCCGATAGGCCTACCACGACATATTCTTTGAACCCAAAAATGCGCGAACAACAAAAGTATCAGCCAGCGTTGATTCCAAATAGATTAGACGACACCAATCAGGGAGTCAGAAGAATCGAACATGTTTGGGATCCGCAACTCAGCAAACAAGCAAGCAAGGGTGCAAGCAAGCGCGCAAGCAAGCAAGCAAGCAAGCAAGCATACATACATACATAAGGGGGGGCATGGGAAAAAAGAGGCAAAAAAGGGGATAGGCATAGGCATAGGGATAGGCATAGCCATAGGAATTAGGGGGGCACAGGAAGCAGGGGGGGAACGGGCCAATTAGTAGGGTTTGAGCTAGGACTCGTATAGAGCAAGCCTATTTGGATAACCATGTTCTTAGAACATAAACCCGATGTGATAAAACACGACAGTCCCAGCCAGACATGTTCTAAGAACATCCCGTGGAAACCACAGAAGGTTCTCAGAACATTCTTCGGTAGGCCTATAGGCGAGCCGGGGCGCTGCACCACTGCTTGACAGTTTGGTGCCTCACGGCCGACGACAGGGGCGGTCGGGGCGGTGCCGTTGCCCCGGTGGGCGCCGGCCGAGGCCGCGGGCCCTGCCGAAGCACGCTCGGTGCCCGCGTTGTGCTTCCAAGGGGGGGGGTGCAGCACGGTGGACTCAGCCCGCAGGGGTTGCATCAGCTCGCCCCCGTGCCCTCGCTGGTCGGAGCGACTGCTGGTAGATCTACAGTCGGACTGGATTGGACAGGACACGCGAGAGGACACAAGACCCTTGCGAAGGCCACATTGCCACAGGAATGTAGGAATCATGGGTCGCGAGACACAGGACACAAGGGTACCCTTGATTTGGCAGGGTCGACCTACTAATCTGGGCCGACTGTAGCCGAGGACAACTTGGTGCATGGTGCTTCTGAGCAAGCTCGTTGTAAGCAGCGACTCCTCGGTCGACGCCACCACTGCTCTGGAGTGTGGTGGCGCAGGCTTCCGTTCGACTGAGGTTGGTCTCCTGCCGATCCGTTAAACTTGCCTCTGGGCGGCCCTTGCCTGGTGGCTTGGGCTGCGGTGGTGCATGAAGCGTACGGCGGGGGCTCTCTGGAACCAATGCGGCGCGCGCGGGAACATGAAAGAGGATGTGACGCGAGTTAGTCCTGTGGTGGGGGCCACTGGTCCGGTCTCGCCAAAGCATCACTGGAATGTTGGGGGGTTCGTGCCTTGGTTTCGCCCTGGGTCTGGATACCCTCGAGCCCAGACTAGGAGAGCCCAGTACAGAGATAGAGAGACCGAGAAGTCAGAGAAAGCGAAAGAGAACGAGAGAGAGACACAGAAACCGAGGACACAGAGACGGAAACAGAGACAGAGAGAGAGAGGAAGAGAGAGACAGAGAAGAAAAACGGCAACAACAACAACAACAACAAAACACAGAGGGAAGAAAAATAAAAGAAAGAGAAAGAGAGAGAGAGAGAGGGCGGGAGGGAGGCGGGGCAAGGACGGAAGAGGGATTGGGGGAGGGCAGACAGACGGGCGGAGAACGCAAGCAGAAAGACGCAGATTCAGCAAGCGAGGCTCCCGCAGCGCGTCACAACCGGGTCGACCGCCTGCGGCGGCGAGGCCGCTGGAGAGCGAGCCGGACGGGTGGACACAAGCGAGCAGAAAGAGGATCCCTCCCCCACTTCCTTTCCTCAGCCCCCCCCCCCCCTTGGAGGCCTGGAAATTCGCACCAACACCAGCACAGGGGGTTGCCTCCACATGGGGGATCTGATCCTAGACTTCGGTGTTGGTGGTAATATTTCGGTCACCTTGGAAACCAGATCATTGCCACCATCACCGAGATCGGGATCGTCTTCCCTCGGTGGAGGCACACCGCCGATCTTGGTGTTGGTGTCAACTTCTACGCCCCCATCCCCTCTCCTCAGCCCCGCGTCTCCACCAGCACAGTCGCCCCCTTCCCCCCTCAGCCTCCCCTTTCCCACTACGGCACCAAGACGGCCGAAGAGGCCTCCAAGATGGCCCTGCAGCGCCCCAAGGAGGACACCAAGACGGCACAGAGAGGCCCCCGAGATGGCCTACAGAGGCGTCCGACGGGCCAAGAGCCCCAAGACGGCCCAAGAGGGCACCCAAAGCCCCCCAAAAGGCCCCCAAGAGGCCCCCACAAAGCCCCTGTGAGGTCCCAGGAGGCCCCGAGAGCCCTTCTCCTCATCCACCGTCTCCTCCCTCTCCTTCTCCTACCTCCCTCATCTGTCTTCCTCCCCTAAGTCTTCCCCAAAGGGTGTCAACCATGGCTGAAGGGGCCCAGGGACACACAAATAAATACACACAAATAACAGGATTCCCCATATTGTTCCATATTTTGTAGGTTCTCGTCTTTCCCCCATTTCCCATACTTTCCCGCATTTTCATAGGAATCAACGATGAAGGTTGTCTGTGTTTTTTCCCTCCTGAATGGCAGGGGGACCACTTAGTCCAGCATCTTGGCCACACTTGGGCCAACCGTTTGGCCACATCGGCGTTTCCAAAGAACAGGGGACGGCGGTGAGCCACCGAAGGCGACATCGATTGTGGATGCATGCGCTGGTATCTGCGTGTGTGAAATAAGCGGCGCAATCTATATATGTATACATGTATATATATATATGTGTAAATATATACATGAATGTATATATATGTATATATATGTATACATATATATACACCATGTGTTGGTATGTGTACATCCATGTATCTAGGATGTGTAGGGTACACGTTTACGCATGCGCCTTCTGGGCAGTTACTCGCTTACCAACGCGCAGATCTGCATCGGCACGCGGTGTATGTGTTCGGACATTCGTAAAACACAACAACAACAACAACAGCAACAACAACAACGACAACGACAATAACAACAACAACCACAACAACAACAACAACAACAACAACAACAACAACAACAACAACAACAAAAACAACAAAAACAAAAACGTCCGAGCGAGGCACCAAAGCAACATGCCTGAATGTATTGCGGAAGTGGAACCGTACGGCCATGCAGGCGTGTGCATGTTCGCGCACAGAGGGGTATGTACATTTCTGCAGAAACCGAAGTTTCTAGGCAAGCAAGCCGGTCACCGTCCCCGAAAAAAGCAAATCAATCGAAAGCGGCCTGGGAAGGTAAAACAATCGGGGCCGTACTGGGAAACCCTGCGCCGGCAGAACTACAAACGAGGGGCTACTCGGCCTTGATGTGTGACCGTCTACCCGCCCACCAAGGTTTGGATGTTGACCCAATCCCAAGCTGGCGGGATTCTTCCCATAGCTGCTGAGGATCGGGAAGAGGAAAGAAAAAGTGAGAACGGGAGAAGGGGGCAGGAGGAAGAGGGAGATGAAGAAGGGAGGAAGAGGAAGAGGAGCAGCAGCAAGGGAGAGAAGTGCAAACGATTCAGGCTCTGTTCTCGAGTTAGCGCAACGTCAATAAAGGGGAAGAA